CCGGGCTGGGTGCCCGGCGCCGTTGGCACAGGCGGCACGGGCGGCACGGGCGCCGGCACCATGTTCCTGCACTCCGTCAACCTCGGGAACTTGGCGTTTTACGCCTTCATGGTCGGCATGGCCACCCTGGGGCTGTGGGACGTCTTCTTCGGCTTCGAGGAGAACAAGTGCAGCATGAGCTACATGTTCGAGTACCCGGAGTTCCAGGTGAGGCGCCGCCCTCGCACCTGGGCGCGCCCGCCCGGCGCGTCCCCGGGTTTCCTCCGCCCGGGCTCCCCGCGCCTCTGCGCCCCGCTCCTCCCCACCCGGCCTCTGCCTGGTCCGCCCCGGAGACGGCGGGACCCCCCTCGCTTCCCTCGCCTGCCCTTTGTGTCCTTTCTCCACGATGGGTGTTTCCTAGGTTCCCCGAGCATCCTCGCTGCCCCGCGCGGAACTGCTCCCCTGCCCCGCTGCCCTCTTCTAGATCCCAGATGCCATGCACGGGCTTCACCCCCCTCCATTCTCAGCCCCTCTCCCTGCGTCCAAACCGCGTCTCCCCCGCGTCCCTGCGCTCACAGGTGCCCCGACCCGCCTTTGCTCCCGCGCGCCCAGCGGTGTGCGTGGCAGCTCGCCCAGGGGTGTCTGGAAGGGACCGCGCTCCTGCAGGGCGGGCAGTGGCTGCACAGTTCCCGGGGCGGCCTCGGGGGCTCCGGGTTCGCCTCTGGGTGCAAGGCTCACCCGACGAGCACATGCATGGAAAACTGTCGGGGTTCCCGCCTGCGCGGGTTTTGCTGAGCCTCTTGCTCAGCGGGTCCGTGCGTGTGCATGCACGCCTGCGTTCATGCGTGTCGCCTCTTACCGATGGCGTTCCAGATCTCTCTCATGTTTGTTTTTTCTCTCTCTCTCACCGTGTTTGCTATTTAAGAGATGGGCCCTTCTCTCCCTCTCCCTCCGCCCCCACCTCTTCCGTTCCATTTTGAACATTTTCAGTCTCGATCACTTAGCAGTTCAGCATGGGAGACTGGAGAATTTCACTCATGAGCAGCTGTAAGAAGAGGCTGTGACTGATGATAGAACTGCCCGAAGACATTCCCCCACGAGTGATTCTTTTATTTCTAAACGCGTCTCCTAATTAAGGAATACATAATAGCCTCCTCCCCTAAGATGTATATATATACTACATATAATACATATTGATAAAATGCATTGGTAGTATACTTTTAAAACCATAGCAGATTTTTTTTTCTTTACGGTGAAGTATGCCGATCGTGGTTGCTTCTTATAGATCATTATGGAGGAGATATTTGATTATGCTGCTATTATTCAGATGTTAAAACTGCTTAAGGTTTAAACTGCTGGCGAGCTTCCTTTCCCATGGACAGAGTTCTAGTTTAGATTTCATTTGTCTTGAGATTCTTACCTTCGTTCTACATCCGTGCTTATAAGGGGGTGTGATATCAGATGCTACTGAAGGAAATTATAACGTTACTGTTGTCTCTTAATTTCTAAGCGAATATGCTGGTTTATTTTTTATCAGAGTCTGTATATAGTTCAGTAGTTGGGCTTCTAGTTTAGATTTTTTTAAAGTGAAAATAGAGCCTTTACAATCACCTTTGATTTTTATATGGTTTAGTAGTTAGGAAACTCCCAGTAGATTGAAGTAGGTCAACTTAGGTTTGTACTGCCTTGAAGAGTTTGGTTAAAATAAAATTATTGTGAAACAGTGTGCTAATTCCCACTTATATTTAGATTGCCCACAATCACTGAAGCTAGTTTAATGTTTGCAGTAGTAGAATTGCTTAGTGTTGGGAACAAAGCATATGGACCTCACAGTTGGATTTCGTGTCTCATAAAATTGGCAAGACACCGAAAACTAGTGTGGCTCATGCAAAAGAGCTGTTTGGCTTTCTGTTATTGTGTCTGTATTTACTTATTTTGATTCAAATCACCCTTTCGAGGCTTTACATTCTGTTAATGATGTTAATTATAGTGGCAGGAGTTTTGGATCCACATTTTTTGGGTAGAGTTTTATTTTTATTATGTAAGAAGCTACGTTAATTCTCTACAGTGCTATTGATATTGGCACCTTAGCCCCTTTGTTGTGCACACCAGGTTGGGCTATTTTACAAATAAGTTAAAACCTGCCTGTAGAAATCCTTTTAAGTACAGTGAGATTTCTGGTTAACTGAGGTCATTCCATTAAGAGACATATGTCTTTTAATGAATAAAAGTGTTCTAAACTTATTTTGTATGTTGCTTGCTTTTCATTATAGTTTACAGTGAACGCTCTAGTCATTCACAAATTGCTATCCATTCGATGAGATGTCCTAATTGTTGGTTTTCTTCTCTTTCTTCATGCCTTTCCTCTTTTTTTTTTTTTACTGCCTTTTGCATATTCTTTAACAAATCATTTATTGAATGACTGTATCAGGTATATCCTAGATACTGGGTGTAATTACATGAATCAGACCTTGGTGCCTTTGATTTATTCTTTATAATACAGTGGGGGAAAGCGGGAATGTAATGGATAGTTGAAATGTGCTACATGTTATAATTTCACTGTAACAGCGTGTGTCCAGGGCTCTTCAGAGGGGAGCATTCAGGTTCATCTTGGTAGTTAAAGGCCACAGAAAAGAGATAGTGAATTGGGCCATGGAAGGTACATAGTTCATAAGGTGCAGAAACAAGAAAATCGCGGGAGTAAAGAATAGCATTTGTGAATAAACAAGGCCCCAGGAGACACTGCCTAAGCAGTATGTATACTGTGTTACCATTTATGTAAAAAGGAGGAAAACCCATGAACATGTTTTCTTGTATGTATATGTGTAAAATATTCCTGGAAACACAAACTGCAAGCATTAGTTGCCTTCCTGGTAGGAAACTGAAGGCTAAAGGACCATGGGTATGAGAGAGCCTATTCAATGTATAGCCTATTGAATCTTGAATTTTGAAACATAATAAAAATAGATTTTAAAACCTGGCATATCGCCCTAGCGGGTTTGGCTCAGTGGATAGAGCATCGGGCCTGCGGACTGAAGGATCCTGGGTTCCATTCTGGTCAGGGGCATGTATCTTGGTTGCAGGTTCCCTGGCCCTGGTTGGTGGGCATGAAGGAGGCAACCAATCAATGTGTCTCTCATACATTAATGTTTCTCTCTGTCTCTCCCTCTCCCTTCCTCTCTCTCTAAAAATCAATGGAAAAATATCCTCGGGTGTGGTTTAACAACAATCACCAACAAACCTGGCATATCTATATCTATATATATAAAAAGCTAGCGACCAGAATGCCGTAATGACCAGAATGACCAGTTGCTATGATGCACACTGTGGCCAGCAAACTGCCCCTCCCCCAGCAGACCCTGCCCCTGATCGCCCCTCCCACCCCAATAGGGGGTGGGCCTGCTGGCCAACTTCCCACCGTCTCCTCCTCCCAACAGGCCCGGCCCAATCTGCCCCAATCAGGACCTGGCCGGCCAGACCCCACCTGTGCATGAATTCGTGCACTGGGCCTCTAGCGTAAGTTATAAGAAACTAGAGGCCCGATGCACAGAATTCGTGCAAGGGTAGGCCTTCCTTCCCCCGGCTGCTGGCTTCCCAGCCCCAGCTGCCAGCTTCATGGCCCTGGCTCCGCGGCCCCACCCCCCGCCTGCACCCGCCTTGGCCTGGCACTGCCCATGTCTGCCGCCACACCTTCCCCGGTTCCATGGGGAACCGAGGGATCGCCGCCCCCCCCCCACCCCCCCCCGCGTCCCTCTTTGGGCAATTGTGGAGCCCTCTCGGCCTCCCTCTTTGGGCAATTGTGGAGCCGGCCAGTGACCTGGGCCTACCTCTGTGGGGCGGTCATGGGGTGATGGCGGGGCCCCCAGACCAATCTGCCTTGGTTGGCCTGGCTCCAGTGCATGTCATAGCTTGGTCGTCCAGATGGTCGTTCTGCTGTTCGGCCGTTTGGTCGATTTGCATATTACCCTTTTATTATTATAGATAGATTAGATAAGAATAGTTAGAGCCAGGTTTTAATGGCCTCTCTCTTAAGCCTTTATCATCTCTGTATGCAGTGAAGAAACACAGGTGTATGTTTTAACAAGGTATTTCCTTGACAGCAGTATGGACTGGAGTGTGGCAGGGAGATCATGACGGAGAGAGTCGCCTGAGACAGTCCGCTGTCCCTCGGTCTTTTTTATCAGCTGGAGTCTGGGGCCCTCTTACCAGTGAGGTGGGCAAAGGGCTGAGGGCCAGCTCTTTGTAAGAGCTTAAAAACTGCATTCATTTGGATCAAGATCATTTTTTTTTTCTTTTTGGTTAATTGTGGAACTTTTTTTATTTTGCAGTTTTAAATCACAATTAAAAGAGATATATCCTAACCTAAAGACTTTAGTTTCCTAAATCAGTATTTTTCTAGCCCTTGGAAATTTTATAGAATCTTTGTCTTTGGAAAGGGGTCTGGATTAGAGATAAGAACCTGCACTAAGGCAGAGTCAAGGGAGGATGGAAGCAGGGCGGCGTTGTGGGGATACTACTTATGGGTAAAAGCAATCAATCTTCATTAGAGGCCTTTCTTGGGGTAGGGGTGCTCATTGAATATACGCTCTATAAAACTATCAGTTTAAAGTAGATTGGAGTCCTGTTGCTATATGTGTTTTCAAATCTCTCTTCTGTTTCTTTTTTGTCACCATCCTTTGTGTATGCCTGTTCCTTTCCTGTCCTCAATCTGGTCAATACCCCTCCCATTTTTTCCTGCCCCTCACTCCCAACTTGAACTCTGTCTGAAAATGCAGTTTTGTCATTTGCCTACAACTCCCACTTTTTTTTTGTTCTATCTCCTTTTTTCCATTTCTACTTTTTGCTACTCCATATTGGATGCATTCGTATTTTTTAAAAATGTACTCTTTCTCACTACAAAATTGCTTTCATAATAGTATATTATGAAATATATCAAATATAGTCTCTTGCTTGTTTTTCTGTCTCCAGAGAATTAAATATTTCTTTTGTATATTTTATAGTTTTCTGAGTTAAATTTCAACCAATTAAAAACTTTGTTTAGCCCAGCAAGCATGGCTCAGCGGTTGAGCATTGACCTATGAACCAGGAGGTCACAGTTTGATTATGTCAGGGCACATACCTGGGTTTTGTTCTCGATACCAGTGTGGGGCATGCAGGAGGCAGCTGATTAATGATTCTCTCTCATCATTGATGTTTCTATCTCTCTCCCTCTCTGAAATCAATAAAAAAATATTTTTAAAAAACCCCACAACACACACAAAAAAACTTTGTTTAGCTACTGACCTAAAAAGAATAACGGTCTCATATGCACATACTACTATTCTATCAAGTGGTTCACTAAATTGGGAGGGGTCTCTCACGCTTTCTTTTTGCTTAATTTGTACCTAAAGAAAAAGTACATTATGTCATTTTTTATTACGTACAGTGCATAATCAGTATGGGAACTAATTTGAGTTAAAGTACATATACATATATAAAGCAAGTAGTGGGGTTTGCACTTCTCTATTTTGAATATGTGAGGAGATGAAAAGTTGCTAGTATCTTATCCAGTGAGCTCACTCTCTCTAAAGATGTTTTCATGATGTTGTTGGCACAGGTTGTATATGGTAATCGTCTCAAAGGACTATTCAGGAGTGTGTGTGAATAATCAGAATTCTGGTTTTTTCCAGCAGTCATTATCATTTAGTTTTAAAAATCCATTCAGTCGTTGAAGTTTTTATCAAGCATATGTGTAGCATTGCTAGATCATTAAATCTCTTGATGTCACCTGCATAAAATCTAGTGTTCAAAGTAACTGGTTTCGTTTCTAATGGTTTCTTTCCTTGAAAAAAGGAGCAGAAGAAGAGTTTACACTTTACTACCACTTTTATAGGTCCTAGCTCTGGGGGATGACATTAAGACCTAATTTATATTTTGTGGGGAAAATGTTATGGGAGTTACTGGCTCGTTTGGTGTGCGATCACGTGAACTGCAGAGTAGGCTAGCGCTTGCTGACGACCGGTGCACCTGGCTTGCGAAAACCAAAACCGATGCTAATTCATTGGAATGTTTATGGTGCGAGGAGAGTACGTGTCTTGACCGAGACATAGCTATAAGGTTCAGGTTAATTTGTTAAGCACATGGTAGATCAAAGCATATGAAGTGGAGAGAGAGGTCAGGAAGCTGCACTATATAAAACCAACTTGCTTTCTGTGGAATGATGTAACAGCCAGAATATGTAGTTGGGCCTGAGTGAAAGGAGAGACATCACAATACTGTTTAAAGTAGCGAAAGAGAATTGATTTGGCAATGGGAAGCTTTCATCATTTCTAAGTTTAAGTATAATTGACACTGATACTAAATTAAATGCATTTTCAATTATGTTACCCTGTAACTTGCTGACATCTACCAGTGTTTTTCTGTTGTCAGTGGCTATTTTGAGTAATTTATCTTCATTAGAATTTAAGATAGTCCTATTTTATGATTTCCCGAAGACCACATGGTTCAGAACCCACATAATTCAAGACTAATTCTCCATATGAATAAACTAAAGTTTGTCCTGTGCATTAAGTTCAGTTTTATCATCAGTAATATTTTTATATTGCGCTCTTTGTGTAATTCAGAATTGGGTATGGTGTGGCTGGATTGTATTAATAAAGTTGGCTTTAAAGTAAAATTGCATTTTTCATTTCATTTATTTGTTATTTTTGCTGTAGAAAATAGAACTTCCAAAGAAACTGGCAAAACGCTACCCTTCGTATGAATTATATCTTTATGGAGAAGGATCCTACGCCGAAGAACACAAAATCCTCCCTTTATCAGGAATCCCCGTTCTCTTTCTTCCCGGGAATGCTGGAAGTTATAAGCAGGGTAAGTCTCGGAAGTCAGTTTTGAAAGCTACGACATGCAGTTGAAGAGTGTAACATACATATTCTGTTAAGTCCTCTGCTGGGCATCCTGGAAACACAAACGTAGGACATTTTGTGTAGAAAAACAGATGTGAGAAATACATAGAAAAGAATGTTGACGACCACTCTGCAAAACGTAAGGAGAAAAAGAGGGTGGAGTGGGTGGGATAAATAGCTGATACTGGGATTCAGGAATTAGCAGAAGAAAGAAGCTTGCATTGGGGATGGAGGGTGCAGAGCACAGAACCTGAAGCGTTGACTAGCAAAGTAAGTCTGGTTTCTGTGATGTTGAACAAGAGAGGAGACGGGTTTCTTTCTCTCAGAGCTTTAAGTTACAGAGCTCTAGCTTCTGGTCAATATGGCCGAGTAGGTAAATGATGTGCTTGCCTCCTCTCATGACCACATCAGAATTATAGCCGAATTATAGAACCACCACCCTTAGAGCCACCTGAAGACTAGCTGAACAGAACTCCTATGACTAAGATGTAAAGAAGAAGCCACATTGAGACTGGTAGATGGGGCAGAGATTCGAAATGGGCTGGTCCCACCCATGTGTGGCAGTTACGAATGAGGAGGAATAGCTCAGCTGCAGATGTCCCCCCTGAGGAGGAGCAGGGGGTCCCAGCCCCACTCCAGGCTCCCCAGCCTGGAGCACCAGTGCCGTAAAGAGTCCCCACAGTCCCTCGCTGTGAAAAGCATCAGGGACTCAGTTCAGGTGAGACGGAAGGCTGCTGTAGACGCAGGCGTCCTCTTAAAGGGCCTGAGCACGGTTTCACTCACACTCGCCTTAAGCTCCACAGAAGAGACAGAAGCTCGAAAAACTCCAAAACCGTTATTATAGCACAAAAATCCTTGTTTAATGTGCACTTTACCCCTTCCCTGTGCAGTGCGGTCCATCGGCTCCATTGCACTGAGAAAAGCAGAAGACATCGACTTCAAGTACCACTTTGACTTCTTCAGTGTGAACTTCAACGAAGAACTGGTGGCACTGTATGGGGGAAGTCTTCAGAAGCAGACCAAGTTCGTGCATGAGTGCATTAAAGCAATTCTCAAACTCTACAAGGTAAGAGAGAAGCTCGCAAGTCAGTCGGGATCAGCCTGCTAGCATCTTTCCTTTTCAGAGGCACTCAGCATATTGTAAATCATTTGTTTATATTCATTGGTGGTTTTGAATTCATTGGTGGTTTTTAAAGTTTAAATTGAATTGACAAGAAGCCTTTCCTGTGAACATAGGGGGGAAATTCTTTTAACTATTATAAATGAAGAGTGCAGGGTATTTCCAAAAACCCTTAGTATGAGTTTCTGTTTCTAGTTATCACTGCACAGCTGGTATTAGGAAGACCACTTCCTTATGTAACCAACTCTAAAGCTAGTCAAGATAGCTGAAGTATGTGCTTTCAGGGTTTGGACAACCACAAGCAGTAAAGGACTATGATCTCTGAAAGAAAGGTACCGTGTGAAGCGAGTTCCATAACTGCTCTGGCTTTCTGCCTGGAAACATTTTCTAGGGCGCGGGGCAAGCAGGTGGAGATCAAGCCAGCACATGGTATCGCCGAGCCAAAGAAGGCAGAGACTGGAATTTGGGGGCTACTGAAAAATTGGCGAGATTTCTGATCAGTGTTGTGGGAAAGAAGAAAATTAGGCAGAGATAGGCGCTCTAGAAATTTGCCTTTTTCGATCTCTGAATGCTACGCTGTGTATGCACAGGTCAAGAAGTAGTACCAGGCAGTGGCATACCAAGGAGGAAGCGATGGGGTGTGTCCACCTAAGGTGCAGTTTAAAAGAGCAGTAAAACAGGCTGACACTCATTCTGTGCCAGCAGTTCTAAGCAGTGTCAGAGGTAAAATACACCTACGTACCTGGGAGAGCCATTCTTTCCTTGGTGTGCCCCAGCGCAAGTCCTGGCAGGAAACAGCTGCTGGGGAATCGTGAGCTGAATTGAGATTTCAGAGGCCACCTGGTGTGGGAATAGGAGTTCTGGCAGGAAACAGCTGCTGGGGAATCGAACACATTGGGCATTCAGGTGACCCCAGAAAGCACATGGCTGAGGATGTTGTCTCTGAGAGCAGCTCAATAGAGATTCCCTGCTCAAGAGTTTTATTTGGGGGCTGGTTATATAAACACCCTATGCCCACCACGTACCAAAACCCCACCCGGAGGGCAGTAGTGATCAGAATAAAGGATATTGTTTGCACAGTTTTGGCATGGTGAGCCATTTTTGTCATTTAGGGAATGATGGGAACCCTCCCAAAATCTAAGGTCCCAGATTGCAGAGCAGAGCCGAACTTAATGCTGTCCATTCTAAGGATAGCAGTTTCAGGCCTACTGTGTTAGCCGTTTTCTGCACAAGGCCCATTTATTCAGACGAACAGGAGAGAAGGCATAGATGAAGGATTGGTATGGAGGACGATGGGCAAAAGTTTGGTTGTAGAACAGGATATTGGTGTGGAGACAGAAGAAATTTTTTTAAATGCGACTAGAGGCCTGGTGCACGAAATTCGTGCACGGGGCAGGGGGAGGGTGTCCCTTAGCCCAGCCTGCATCCTCTTGCAATCCGGGACCCCTCAGAGGATGTTGGGCCTAAACTGGCAGTCAACATCCCTCTCGCAATCCGGGATGCTGCATGTACCAGTGACCACACTTTTCATACAGGTGAAAGGCATCTTGCTGTTGTATCGACAGCTACATTTCTTTGCCCTGACTATAAAAAGTAGTACATAACATGATCCTTCTGAGGCAGTAGTACCATTTTTCCATCTTATGGGTGGAAAAACTGAAGCAGAGAGAAGTTAAGTAATTGGCTTTGTCACACAGTTATAAGTGTCAGAATCAGAGCTGACCACCAAATGTGCAAGCCAGAGTCCATGCATGTCATCGCTGTATCATTCTGTTTTTTCAGTGTTAGAGTAGTCTTGCTAGGTTTTAATTTTTAAATCTAAGAGACTGTTCCCAATATATAGGGTAGGGTCCGTAGGCCTGGCCAGCAATCAGGGCCATCTGCTGGCACCCGCCTTGGCTGGCGGCCCTACCCCCCACCACCTCCTGGGGGGCAGACGCTCAATGTAGTAGCGTCTGGGGCAGCTTCTGCATTGAGCGTCTGCCCCCGGTGATAAATGCACGTCATAGTGACGGGTCGTTCCGCCGGTCGTTCTGCTGTTCAGTCAGTTTGCATATTAGGGTTTTATTATATAGGATACTTATTTAAGAAATAAAATATGTCAGTGAATAAATGTTATGGAACATTGGTTTATTTTAAACCCAGGTGCATAATAGGGAAATGATTTGATGAGGTGTGTCAATATGATGTGGTAGTATATTGCTCTGACAACCATAATTTTTCTAGCTTTTCTATGGTATTTCTAATTTTTAATAAATGACCCTATAAAATCTAATATTGTGGTATGCACCAAATATAATTACAACTCTTACATCCAATATAACAAATAGTGAAACATGATTTGCTAGACCCAAGTTTTCTGATTTTGGTTCAGAAATTCAAAGCATGGCTATTAAAAATGTTTGACAGCTCTGACCAGTTTGGCTCAGTGGATAGAACGTCGGCCTGCAGACTGAAAGGTCCCAGGTTCGAGTCTGGTCAGGGGCATGTACCTTGGTTGCGGGCACATCCCCAGTAGGAGGTGTGCAGGAGGCAGCTGATCAGTGTTTCTCTCTCATCGATGTTTCTAACTCTCTATCCCTCTCCCTTCCTCTCTGTAAAAAATCAATAAAGAAAAAGATATTTTAAAAAATGTTTGGCAGAACACAAAATAGTATGTACACACTAATTATACGAAAATGTGTTTCTGTATCTCATGATAGGAGGTTAGATAAATAGTTTATCTATGTATATAAAAGCCTAAGCGGCCTTTCGACTATTCGACTGGTAGCTATGACACGCACTAACCATCAGGGGGCAGACACTCAACACACAGGCATGGAAACATGGAACAGACTGATGAATCTTAGAGGGAAGGGGAGAGGTGGGAGCGGGGGAAGAGATAAACCAAAGACCTTATATGCATACTAGAGGCCCCGTGCACGAATTCGTGCACCAGTGGGGTCCCTCAGCCTTGCCTGCGGGGACCAGGCCAAAACCGGCAGTCCAACATCCCTCAAGGGGTCCCAGATTGCGAGAGGGCGCAGGCCAGGCTGAGGGATCCCACCGGTGCATGAATCCATGCACCAAGCCTCTAGTTTTTTCTATAAAATTGCTCATATTTAGAGAGATGTATTTAGTATTGTCTTTATGATACTGTTAATTATGTGTTGGTTATTTTTTTTTTTAAATAGGGTCAAGAATTTGCTCCAAAAAGTGTGGCGATAATTGGTCATTCTATGGGTGGCCTTGTTGCAAGGGCATTGCTTACACTGAAAAATTTTAAACAAGATCTGCTGAATCTTCTTATTACACAAGCCACCCCTCATGTGGCTCCCGTGATGCCCTTAGACCGGTTCATTACAGGTGAGTGCTGTTACATAAACACTGACTGGCCTTTAGATTAACACGAATCCTTGCAGCTGCTCCCTTCAGAGAGCGCTACCGGTGCATCCATGTGGAAGCAGCTGTTGCAGATCACCTCCACCTCTGCCTCTCTGACTTTCAGCTTCGGCTCATCGTTGAAACTGCTGTGAGTTTTCTCTGTCGATGGCACCTTAACGTGATGGCAGGTCTGGTCGTCCCTGGGCACGTAGGCTTCCGCTCAGTTATTCTTGAGGATGACTCCCTGGCTCTTAAAGTTTGTTTAAACTTCTGTGTTTTGTTAAGTTGCCAGGACTCTATTCAAAATAAGCTTATTTTTAAGTAAAATACTAGGAATGTCTTGTTTTTCATAAAGAGTCCTGCTACCACTGCATGCGGTGAGGTAGAATTGTGAATATTTATTGAGCTCTTACTATGGTTTGGGTATTGTGTTAAAGACTTTACCTAATGTGTTATTATGTCACTTAATCCTTAGAGTCCTTTGAGGTAGGACCATTGTTATCCCCATGCTTATGGATAGAAAAAAAAAAGTCCAAGATAAAGTTTTTGCCCAAAGTCACGTGGCAAGAAAATAGTGGAGCTAGTACTTGACCCTGGTAAACTTGTTCCTGGCCCTGTGCTCTTAACTTTTATATGCTGCTAGAGGCCCGGCGCACAGAATTCATGCAAGGGGCTCAGCCCTCACAGCCCCAGCTTTGTCTGGCTGTCTGGTCTAATTCGCATATTACGCTTTTATTATTATTATAGAAGATACTGCTTCTTAATTTAGATACCCTGCTATAATAGAAGAAATAAAATTATGGATAATACTATAATGTTGCAGGGAATTTTAAATGAACAGTACGAGTTTATGCTTGCTGTCATGTAATCAAATAGTGTCACAGGATAAGAATTAAATGCCTGTCTCGCCTTTTTATTAAAGTCAAATAGTGTCTTCACTGCTTGTTGCAAGTTTATGAGAATAGAAGAAAATATTTGGAAAGAAATAATTCTTTTCCCGATCAGTAAATTTACTCCACTTCTTACCCTATAAAAATTTGCATTATCTTAATTGTGGTAAAACTTTTATTTATAGTTCAGATGGCTTAGAAGTTCTGTTTAATATTAATATTATAGATATATCTTGAATATAACAGTGTATCTTGTTGCAGGGAATGGCCACTAATTTTTAATGTGTCTTTTTTTCCTACCAGATTTTTATATGACTGTAAACAACTATTGGATTCTAAATGCTAGACACATAAATTTAACCACGCTTTCTGTAGCTGGAGGATTCCGGGATTACCAAGTTCGCTCTGGACTGACTTTTCTACCAAAACTAAGCCATCATACCAGTGCCTTATCTGTTGTGGTAATCTTTTTAAAGACTCTACTGAAATAGTGGCATGGTGAACGGGGCGTGAATGGAGAAGTAACCTGTTGCTGCTTGGAAATGACTGCTGGGTTGGCGTAGTGCTGCCATGGTGCTTGTGTGTGTGTGCCCACGTGTGCGTGAGGGGAGGGGGGGCGGGCAGAGAAGATGAATGGATAAATATGACATGTTGGGAAGGCAGAGGCATGGGTGCCTGTGTCCATAGAAACTAAAAGTGACCTTAGAGACTTTATGAAAAGAACGCTTATTTATGAGAAATAATTGCATCTTGTTCAAAATCAGAGCCCAGGCATTGATGAGAGTTGTGAGTTTAAGGAAGTGGGGACTGATGTCCCAGGGCCTCTGTTATGTGAGTGCTATGCGGTCTGCGGTGGTAGTGGAACAGTAAACATATCACATACTCTGGATCGCCAAGCTTGAATGAAGTTTCACCCATTCTAAAATTAAAAAATTAGCTTTGGCAGTGTAAACAGAACCCTGTTTAATTCATTTGCTGATTATTCTTCCCTGCTAGGACATCAAGTATATGGTCTTTAACTGGGACACGTCTTCCCTGCTAGGACATCAAGTATATGGTCTTTAACTGGGACACGTAGCCTCTGTAAAGTGAGTTCAAGTTTCCAGTTATGATCTTAACTTTTTAAACTCAATATATACATATATATATACACACATATATATACGTATATATACACATATATATACATATATATACACATACATATATATACACACACATATATACATATATATACACATACATATATATACACATATATATACATATATATGTATATATATATCATCTTCAACTAGAACTTAGTTTCTACAAACATCCATAGTTCCTTTTGCTTTGGAGGAGCTGGCTTTGTTTCATGGCTGTTCCCTTTGGAGATCCCCTTTGCTCTACCTTAGGTTGCTGTGCGTTCATGAAGCAGGATTTACTGAGTGCCTGCCATACCTAGAACAGAAATCATTAAGCTCCGCTGCTGTTACCCACCATTGTCTTATAACTGGAGTTGTGGTTTAGCCATAGTAGCTTTGGAACAAAATTGGTAAATCTCTCAAACCTCATTATTGGTACGAATCTTATTTCGATGTTGAATGTTTTGGGCAGATGTTTGCTGGAATCCCTCAAAAGATTAAATGTCAACTCTGTAAAACACATATGTAGTCGTCAGTCATATCATGTAGCTAATTTCCTGGGCTTGGTCTGGCCCATGGTGCTGTATTGATACCACATCCTGCAGCTTATTTTTGAAAGGACTTTGGTCTTTTCAACTGTGTGTGTGTGTGTGTGTGTGTGTGTGTGTGTATGTGTATGTGTCCCTGTTTTCTAATCCATTTGATAATATATTGTCTTCAAGGCAGCTTGTATTTCTGATGAAAATATTTTACCTCTTAGGGAGTTTTCTCAAAGCTGGTTATTTTATGACTTGAGTTCACTTTGGTTTTTTAGCTCCCAAATAGTCTAGGGCAGTGGTTCTCAACCTTCCTAATGCCGTGACCCTTTAATACAGTTCCTCATGTTGTGGTGACCCCCAATTTCATTGTTACAAATTGAACATAATTAAAGCATAGTGATTAATCACAAAAACAATATGTAATTATATATGTGTTTTCCGATGGTCTTAGGCGACCCCTGTGAAAGGGTCGTTCAACCCCCAAAGGGGTCGCGACCCACAGGTTGAGAATCGCTGGTCTAGGGTCTTTCACGTTTTAAAGTATGTTCACTTAAAAAACAATTATGAAGACATAACAGTGTTTTAATGATTATCTCAAGAATGGTTAAGTGACATTTACATCCACTGGGGCTAGAAAAATGACTGAAGTTTGAGAGCCCGTTGTATGGGTCGGGGAGACTAACCTGTTGTTTTGTATACTCACGCAGGGGTGGATGGCACGTACACACGGTAGAGGTTTACATTTTACTCACAGAACTGCCCTCGGTGTGTATTTAAGTTGGTGCATGGTGTTCAGAACCCGTAGCACCAGCCTCCTAAGGGACCTGGGCTGACGGTAGACACCACCTGCCTGAAGGTTTTACTTTTGAGGCTGCTCTCATTGTTACTATTTCTACCCATGAGAAGGGGGAAGAGGAGCAGTCAGGCCTGGGCATGGCACACATCACTCCTGTTCACATACTATCAGAGAAAAGTTAGTCGCACCCTAAAGTGAGAGAGGCCAAGAGGTAGTCTAGCCAGCTGTGCAAGAAGGCAGGAATGGGTTTTGGTAGACATTCAGAAGTTTTCAACGAGATCATGAACACATACCTTTCTTGTTGGTGTGGCCTTTCCCCTTTCCAACTCCAGCACTGACGCGAGCCCATTGTATGTTCTTGGGAGTGCTAAGTGCTGTCTACTGTGAGTTCTTACTTGACTGAGCACCTAACATCATCCTAGAACTACACTGAACTCTGGTTGTCTTAACGTGTTACGTAAGCTGCCAGCAGGAATTCCTGAGTAAGATAACTAATGTTTTATTAGGTTCAACAAGTAAGCTGCTAGTATAGATTCCTCCCACTTCAGAGCCTGATTGGAGGGTGTTATGGCATTGTCAGAAAGCCTTCTGCAAATAGTACATTTTTAGGAGCCTTTGCCCTTGTCTCTCTAGTTAGTAAAAATTCAGCTAGTGAATTTTTCAGTATAAATAGGTCTGGACCCCACTTGTGAGAGTCTGTTTGGGTAGTTTTGATACTGTGATCAGACATACGTCTTTTGGAAAACCTCTCCAGGCTTAAGCATTTCTCAGGCACACCCTGATTAAGAAGTAACATCTTAGACTTTACCAAGTGGTAATCTAGTCAGAGCTAAAATTACTAAGATATCTATTGTAATTTACCCATAAACTAGGATTTTTAAAGAATCATAAATTCAGCCTCTTGTTAGAGTAAAAAAAAGTTAGGCATTAAACTCAGAAAGGAATCTGGATGCTTTAATAATTTTTAAAGGATAATGTAAGTGTGACTAAGCAGTAATGACAGGGAAATATCTTAATATTTTTGGTTCATCTTTTACAAAGAATGCATCATTTAAAAATGTCTGTGCATCATAACCTAGTGAAACTAATGCTACATGTTTCTAAATATAAGCTTGTAAGAATCTCAAGCTTTTTGGAGGATAAGGAATGTGCTTTTCTTAAGTTTGATTTTTTGTTTCTTTCCTTTCAGAGCTCAGCAGTGCCTAAGACCTGGGTCTCCACAGATCACCTCTCCATTGTGTGGTATGTTGTGTAATTTACTCTAATGGCTTGTGGTGGTCCTCTTTTCTCAGCGGTGCATTGATTAGTTTATTAACGTTCTTAGAGCTTTATCCATAAATAGATTTGGGAGACAGGTTAACTTAGGGGCTTAGAACTCTAAACTTGGCTCTTGTCTCAGTGTGACCAGGGTTTCCTTGACAACCGAGGTCATCATCTCAGAACCAGTAGCATCAGTCTCAAATGAAGCTAGCGTCAAATATCAAAATTTTAGTTTGTCATATTTGGGCAGATCAAAGGTACTTGTAGGACATTGAAGCTCTCGGCCAGTCACCAGACTCAGGGACTAGATGGATGCAGCATTGGTTGTTCTAGAGTAGCACATGGAGCACCAAGTAGGAATTAGATTTACCCTTAACATAATAAAGAAAGAGATTAAATATAGGTCAAGAAATACCTAGACCAGTGGTCAGCAAACTCATTAGTCAACAGAGCCAAATATCAACAGTACAACGATTGAAATTTCTTTTGAGAGCCAAATTTTTTAAACTTAAACTATATAGGTAGGTACATTGTTATTAACTTAATTGGGGTACTCCTAAGCTGGCCTTTGCTAAAAACGTCCTCAATCTGAGGGGTCGACCTCAGCGAACATACCCCCACTTGTTCTAACACCACTTCTTCAAAATAGACTCGCCCAGGCCGAAAACCGATCTCTGCGCATGGGCCACAAAGTTTCAATCGCACTGTACGTGCGTGCCTGCATGTGGTATTTTGTGGAAGAGCCACACTCAAGGGGCCAAAGAGCCGCATGTGGCTTGCGAGCCACGGTTTGCCGACCACTGGCCTAGATCAAGCATGTCAAACTCAAAGGCTAACATGGGCCAAATAAACAAGGTGTAAGTGTATGTGGGCCGCAAAAAAACAAAAGCTTCAATTTTTATAGAAACGTAGGTTTATTTCGATAGAGACATACTGATTATAAAGGGCTGAAATAAATGAGTCATCGTTAACATAAAATAATAGAAAATTTTAATGAAAATTAATATTTTTTCTTGAACATCAACTTACCAGACGCTGAATAACTGCACAAATTAATAAGCGTAATGCAAATAAACCTATTTTTCTTGTTCTCCAAAAGCGAAATATTTCCTGTTGTGCACACCAAACAAGTCAGTACAAGACTAATGACGTGGCCATCGGCTGCTAGAATATTCGCTGCTAGTATTAGTGGAGAGAAATGGTGCGCCTGCATGTAAGGCGAGTGAGGGAAATGAATGCAACATGATTATAGTAATCAGTCATTAGCAGACATTGTAGTTCGTTATTGATAATTACGTATAACAGGATATTGTAAAAGTCCTGTTAAAACGCTTCTCACATACCGTTATATTGCCTGGGCCGCAAAAATATTCGTTGTGGGCCCCATGTGAGTTTCACATGCTTGACCTAGACCCTAGGATCTTATCTCTCTGTGTTTTGGCTTAAAGATCCTCTTTTTCACCTTCCTCCAGCTCTGTGGTCAGTGGCATCTGCAAGAACCAGCCAGTGCAGGCATGTGAACATGGGTAGAGGACACCTATAGCTGTGTAGACACGGAAATGTAGGGGAGATGGAGGGACCCAGACAGGTCTACTGTCAGACATCCAGGAAGATTTAATTTGCTTCATTTTTATTGTTTCAACTTTAAGATATGTAATTGGTAATAATGATTTCTTAAATAATTTTAGCATTTACAGCACTAAAGGAACCACAGATATTTGATTAAATAATGGAATTATGTGTGTTTGTATCAAAAGCATATTTTTAACGTTTCCTTTGTAACACATCTTATTCTTCAGGTGTAAACAGTTGCAGTTGACTACAATTCGAGCATTCTTTGATCTGATTGATGCTGACACTAAACAAGTATGTATTCTTAAACTAGCAATGATTTCAGTAAAGTGAGAGCTTGGTTGCAGCAGTGGTGAAGTTAATACATTTTATACTTCGATGCAACTAGAAGCCTACACCTTATGATGACTTATAATGACTTTCAAAATGGGAATACCTCTATTTTTATCTGATAATACTTTGACCACTAATAATAATTAATAGAATGCAATGGAGGAAAAAGAGGGTGGGAGAGGAGGAAGAGGGTGAGGGGGATACATTGTGATGGAAGGAGACTTGACGTTAGGGGTGAACACACAATTCTACATGCAGAAAATGTATTACAGAATTGTACACTTGAAACATATGTCATCTTTAACCAATGTCCCCCCCAAGTAAATTCAGTAAAAGTTTTTAAAAGAATGCAATGAAAATGAAAAATGACAGATTCCTTAAATCTTCCCCCAGTTCTTCTCCTTTACTGTTTAAATTTTTATATATAGTCTTTTAGCTTTAATTAAGGGAAATACTTATTACTAGCTATTTTTTCCTTTTTAGTAATGTATTATAGATCTCATGACCTATCCTATTAGACATTTTTGCTTGACTTTCTTTGGAAAGCATCTTTACCTTTCTGATAGGATCCAAAGATCTACAGTTGAATAAATAAAATCTGTGTTCCATTAAATTCTAAGATGAGAAAACTCTAATACAAGTGTATAATAAATTATAATTCTGTAAGGATAAGTATATTATAGACACATTTTAAGGACAAATGAGAAGTTTTTGATAACTAATAGTGCTAAGAATCAAAATATTATGAAACCGAGTTCTGTTTCACAAACTCATTATATATAATGGACTGGACTATGTTAGGATATGATTGCTAATCAGGAAGCATGTGATCTAGGAGGAAAAGCAGGGAAACTAGAACTCACGCCATAATCATCCCCAAACATGAGGTCCCCAGGAATCAGAATTAGTGTCATTTTTGATGGTCATCAGCATAAACATCAGCTGAGAATGTGAGTGGATGGATCTTCTAGAGAGAGAATCAGGATGGGAGAGATGACTTAACTGAAATTTTGGTTGAAAGACCTGTGGCTTTAATTGATTGCAGTCAGATGTGGCTGCTTTAAAAAAACAAAACTAATTTTGTATCAGACTGAATTGATTGACGTATAGAGTTTGCATCAATGAAGTTAAATTCCACTTTCCTCCACGCTAGCCATACAATTCCGAGAGAATTATATTCTATTTTGTACATCCTGTTTTAAGGGGGGACATTAACAAACTTGAGTTTATCCAGGGAAGGAAGGCAGGCAGAGTGGAGAGGGATCTGAAGCAGTTCTGTGAAAGACACTTGATGTTTTTGAAGTTGTCTAATCTGTAGAAGAAATGTTTTATTTGGATGAGGGACATCACAGTCTTTAATTTTCTGAAGGACTGTCCCCCAACCTAATGTATCAAAGCACCAAGGAGTCAGATACTTGCTCTGAACAGGGCAGGACATGCTCCTGGTAAGAATTGTTGCAACTGGAATGTAATATTTGGAAAAGGACTGAGTTAGAAATGTTAAAGCAAATACCGGGTGCCTTCTAAGGGGCTGAGCAGATATAGTAGACCTGGGTCCTCGCCGACATTTCTTCATCATCTGGTCACTGTGTGGTTGCTGAGAGAATCACTTCCCTGTCGGGGCCTCGGGGCCTCGGGGCCCTAGCTGGAGAATTGAATAGCGGTAGATTCCAGAGGAATTTTATACCCCAGTACATTTTCTTCAGGGGAGGGGCCGATCTGAAGTTGCCGACATTTTATCGTGCTGGGATATTTTAAAACAACAGGAAATATCCTGTTGTCTGCTTGCATTTTCGTTTCATGAAACAGGATGTTTTGGCACAGGGGGAGTCAGTAGAACAGAGTGGAAGGGATTTCCAAGGGAGAACAGTTGTATTTTCTCTAGAGACCACTTGATTTCAGTGTTGTGAGATTGGCGCTGGTCTGCATTGGGAAGCTAGTGGGTTGGGTTCACTGGGCTGGAGGACCCCTGGCGTTCCCTTCCGGTTATGAACATGTTAATATGTTTTATCCTCGTCTGTTGTTGGAGAGCACGAGTGCATAATGGTTAAAAGCGGCCTGTGTTTGAGCACTGGTCCAAGCTCTCCTTGGGAGCGTGACCTTGAGCCGTACCTTTATTTCCCTGTGCTTTCACTGCCTCACATTTAAAATACAGATAAGAAGGTTATGGTCTCCTATAGAGCGCTAACGTGTTAAGCACGTAGAACAGGAAGTAAGTGACTGTTGGCTCTTAGCATTGTTACTCGAAGCAAAGTGTCATTGAATTATCACCGGATATGAAAGGGTACAGAATGCTTCCATGTTCTCTCTAGATAACTCAAAACCCCAAGAAGAAATTGTCGGTTTTGAATCACCACTTTATAAGACACCCAGCAAAACACTTTGAGGAAAAACCAGCAATAATTTCTGACTTAACAGGTTAGTGGTTTTAATATTTTTAAATTGTAAGTAGAGCTTTAATTATTATTCTTAGGTAAATTTGTTATTAGCAGACAAAATCTTTCAAACTATGGTACTTCAGGTACTGAAATCCTGTTATATTTTATTCATGTCTCTAAGATGGTTTCTTAAGAGGTTGTTGGTTAGGGGAGGGAAAAAGTAGAAAAGCAATTTATAAGATGTGGCTGGTGAAAAAATAAATGTCCTGAAAATAGCATAACAAGTAGAAAATGTTTAAAGATAAAGTTCAGTGTCTCTGGTCTCCTGACAATCACATACAATAAGTGCAGTGCTTAGTTTCTCAGTATCAGTCATGCTTCGTCGACCTTCTTTTGGATTAACAGGCATATCTTTAGCTGGTAAATTTTGCTTTTACATGTAATACCTGTCATACCGTACTTAATTATTTGTCTTGTTTGGGAAATGAAATACTGACTTTCTTTGGTTGATACTTCCTTAGAGTTAAAGACACCAAGTCGATTTAAAGTGCTTTATTTGATGTGAACGCTAGTTAGTAATGAGCACATAGGGACTATCTCAGTAGATTTTCCAATTTAAAATAGCCAGTCTTCAGGAAACCACTTTTTCAAAAACTGCTGATTGAGAAATATTTCACCAGTATTTAATAAAAGAAATTATTTAATATTAAAAAACCAAGCTAAACAAATGAATTTCCTTTCCCTTAGTGACGCCGCTGTGGGTTCCAGTAAAAGTGTCGAAGTGGACCTACGTGGCTTACAATGTAAGTATACCTCCAGGGGGTTTTCCTTTACTTAAAATAAGTTTAGTAGTTATCTTTGACTGCTAACGTCTCTTTAAAAAAGATAACCACATATCATTTTGCCACAGTAAAACAATTTAAGTAATAATGTTTAATTAATAAGTATCTAATTGGTGTGCAGTTTTTCAATTTTCTAACTGTCAAATTTTTAAATTATTTTTATTTTCAATTTGTTCAAATCAGGATACAAACAAGGTCCACATATAGTAATACTTATATATCTCTTATTCTTTTAACCTCTAGTACTTACTTCACCACCTTTTTTTCCTCTTGCAGTTTATTTGTTGAAAAAAGCAAGTCATTTGTCCTAGTTTGATGAAGTTTCACAGTCTTTTCTGATTGCATTGCTGTAGTGTCATTCAACATGTTCCTTTGCCTTCTCTTTTCCTGGGACTTAGTAGTTGGGTCTAGATGCTCGATCAGATTCAAGTGTTTGTTTTGCGAGACTGGCTTTTTTTTTATATTAGCAGCTACTAGTATTGAGGAATAATGCCTACTATCAGTTCGTGTAGAGGGATGCAAAAATGATGATACTCCAATTTGATCATTTCTCCTTCATTTATTAATTGGAATACTGTATAGAAAAACTCATCTAGTAAGTTTATCAAAAATGGAACACATCGTAAAGGAAAAAATGTCAATCACGTAGACCTTTGGATCTTATATTTACAGTGGGGCCTTCCTTGACTTACGAGTTTAATTCGTTCCGTGACGGAGCTCGTAACTCAAATTACTTCTATGTCAAATCTTAAAGTGAACGAGTGAGACACGTGATGCTGAGCTGATGTTGTGGCATTCACTGTGATGTTCGCTGCATCAACTAGCGGTGGGGTATCTGAAGCTGGCTCGTAACCCGAATTTTAGCTCGCAACTCAAAGCAAAAAATTGGCCGAGAGACAGCACGTATTTCGAAAAACTCATTAGTCGGGACACTCGTAAGTCAAGGCCCCACTGTACTCGTTTTCAGAATAGTGAGTTGGTTCACAGACAGCGACTGAAAGAGGTTTTGGGGTTTTTTCCTCCCTAATATTATTACAAACTCATGTATTTAAGCGTAAACTAAAATATTAAAATTGTTCTATCTTTGACCAGTGTAGCCATTTCAGGTTCGGTTCTAGAATCTTTCCATATAGCTGCTCTTTATTTGCCGTTGGTAGTTTTCTCACTGTCTATCTGGTATGAGAAGACATTGCAGATCGTTTTGTATATCCCCCGCCCCAGACCTTGAATCAACTTTTTTCTCGAAGGAAGTCTCCCAATATTTGGGAGATGGCACCTAAAATCCGTAATCAGGGCAGTAGCAATACTTATGGCTGGTGGGTTAGCATTTCTAGGCTTTTCAGTGGACAGAGCTAAGAAAGGTATTTTAGCTTCATCATAAGGCCAAAAACCGAACCAAGACAGAACATTCATACTGATGCTTTTAAGACAGATTTCAGGACTACAGGGTTTATACCTGATCTCTCTATCTTACAGCTGTCTCTTCTTCCCACTCCTAGAATATTGGTCTTCAACACTACCAGGAATAATTGAATAATTACTGATCACCTTTAGCTGGAGTTTTGAATGATGAAAGTATCCATTTTTATGATCGTTTTATTGTGTTTTTCCTTTTTTTTCAGGAATCTGATAAAATATATTTTACATTTCCTCTTGCAAATCATAGGAAAATCTACACTCATGCCTATTGTCAGAGCACCATGCTGGTAAGATGATTGGTACATTCTGTGTAAATTTAAAAGGCTAACTGCTCATTTTTCAAATTCACCAAATATCTAGTAGATCTCTACCTTAGCTATGCACTATTACTAAATCTAATTCGTTGAAAAATATTTGGAGAAGAGTTTTTTTTTTATTGAAAAGTATTCGTCCAGATGTTTCTGTAGCTGATAATATACCAGGATCTAATATATCACTGAGTTGGTAGATGCTGCACTTTGATATAGAATAAAGCCTTTAGAAAAGATGGTTTTACTCTTTAAGTTGATTTATTTTAATCAGAATCTGAAGTCCATATATTGCATTTGATTCATGGATCTTCAGTCTCTTTTGTAACAGCCCCTTTTTCTTTCCATTTATTTATTCAAGAAAGGCTGTGGGCTCTATAAATTCCCTACATTGTGGGTTTAGCCGATTGTATTCTTGTGGTACCTTTTACCATGTATTCCCACCCCTCCTGTTTTCTGTAAACTGGTAGTTAGATCTAGAGCAGCGGTTCTCAACCTGTGGGTCGCGACCCCTTTGGCGGTCCAACGACCCTTTCACAGGGGTCGCCTAAGACCATCCTGCATATTAGATATTTACATGACGATTCATAACAGTAGTAACATTACAGTTATGAAGTAGCAACGAAAATAATTTTATGGTTGGGTCACCACATGAGGAACTGTATTTAAAGGGCCAGACGGTTGAGAACCGCTGATCTAGAATCTTGATTAGACTCTGATTAATTGTGTACGGTAAGAATGTTTTACAAGTGGAACTGGGAGGCATATCCTAGCTGGTTGGGGTCTTAGGTGGTAGCAGTATGATCTGTCCACCATGAAGTTCCCAATCAGTCTTTCACCTAATGATTTTAGCAGCCACTGAGGGCTGCGGACAGATTTTTTTTAAAGAACTATACATTTTATGATCTAGTGGCATTTTCTTTTCTTTCTACTTCCTGGAGTTAGTCAGCAGTTCCTGAGTGACTTTTTCTAAGATGATTTATACAGTTTTTGTAATTAGTTAGGGATGTTTACTAGATGACCTGAAATTGTTCTCTGGACACTTTCTAGGCTGTATAAAAATGGTGTTTTAGGGTGGGCTTGAATAGTATTTATTCAGTTCATTGATGAAGGAGTCAGAATTCCCTATACACGGAATGAGATGAGTGGTGTGGGCTATTGGCAATCTTCATAATGAGGGCTATCTTTGAGGACACGCTCCCTTATTAGCTGCAAAACCCAGGATGAAAGTGGGCTGGCTATTGAGAGGCTTCTAGATGTTCTTTGTCCAGGCTATTCAGGTCTGTTTTGTTGCCTTGCTTTAAAAGGGCACATTAGCCCTAACCGGTTTGGCTCAGTGGATAGAGCATCGGCCTACGGACTGAAAGGTCCCAGGTTCGATTCTGGTCAAGGGCATGTACCTTGGTTGCGGGCACATCCCCAGTAGGAGGTGTACAGGAGGCAGCTGATTGATGTTTCTCTCTCATCGATGTCTCTAACTCTCTATCCCTCTCCCTTCCTCTCTGTAAAAAAAAAAAAAAAATCAATAAAATATATTTTAAAAAAATAAAAGGGCACATTAGGGTTCTGAGAAGCGTAGGCAGCTGATATTGTAGGCAGCATTTTGCCAGGAGTAGAGAGCAGAAAAATATCATATTGCTTTTTGTTTGTTTCCTTTCAGCTTTCTTTTCTGTATTCTTGGAAAAACGTCTTAAAATTTTATTTAAGTTTCATGAGAGCAAAGACCATGTCTGCCTGATTCATCCTTTTCCTCAAGGGCACAATTCCTTGGCCCTAGAATGGACTTTATAAATTATAAATATTAGTTTAATGAAAGGATTGATTTTTTTTATTGTCCTATGTGTATACTAAGGAAGAATTTATGTGGCCATCTGAGCAGTGTTTCTCATTACCTTATGCCCTGGTAGGATTTCAGTAGTTGGATCATTTCAGTAGTCTTGAAGCATTGCTCTTACTACTTCCTTAAAAGTTAGAGTGATCTTAGGTCAGAATTCTCTTAAATGACTGAAGCTAAATCCATAATATAGTTAAAAAATCACCATCATCGCTGCCGTATTTCCATGCTGCACCGACAAAGTAGCAACTAGCCTCAGTCTTGGATTATGTTTCAATCCAAACACATTCTCAGCTGCGTAGAAGTTATCTGTTTGGTAGTCAAATAAGAACTCAAATGATAAACTAAAGGCTATACTTGGATTAATTGTTATTTTTTAATTACTTGGCTCTTTTTGGATTTTTAAATTTTATTTTTGTATAAAAGTCCACATCTACTTGCTCATTTTTCTGTTTTTGTTAAAATGTAGGAAACTTACTATGTAACTACATAGTTAAACTATGAACATTGCCAAACTCAAGGTATTGGTTCACACATTAGAAACGCTTGCCCAGGCCCATGGGACTCAGTTGGTTGAGCATCATCCCATGCACCCAAAGGTCGCTGGTTCAATTCCCAGACAAGGCACCTGCCTGGGTTTGGGCTCGATCCCCAGTAGGGGGCATGCAGGAGGCAGCTAATCCGTGCCTCTCATATCTGTTTCTCTCCCTTTCCCTTCCTCTCTCTCTAAAATAAATAAAAACATATATTTTTTAAATTAGAAATGCTTAGGTAATGTGCTGTGGAGAGGTGCCCATTGGGTTCCTCTTTCTCACATTGCTACTCTAGGTTACTTGCTTCCCTGTCTTGTTGACCGTAGACTTCTTTGCCTGCCCTTGACCTGTTTGACTTTTAGACCATCTCGGATACATTCCTAAATATCAAGTTGCTATTTTATATTTTTGTTGTGCCTACTGGCCCTATCAGGCAACAGTAAAACATCGAAGATGTTTATTTTGCATAATTATTTTCCACATCACTTAGTGTGCTTTGCTTGTGTCATTAATCAACAGGATACAAATAGTTGGATTTTTGGCTGCATAAACAGCACTTCTATGTGGTAAGTTTTTTGAATCTGTGACCTTCCATTGTTCATTTTCTTCCACATAAACACACTCACAAATTATACTTTCAGAATAGCTTTGTACGTTTTTAAGCTCATTTTGGTGCTATACTAAATTAAAGTATAGGTTTTAAAGTAAAAAAGGAAATTAGCATAGCAGTAAGTTTTGTAAACATTGAAATAGTTGGCTGCTGGAAAGACAGTTTTTTGATTCCAAAAGAACTATGTAGGTAGAATATCTTGGGTGAGAACATGTTAGGCTTCATGTCATTAGAACTCTCTCTGGCAGCTCTAGGGGTGATTTCTTTTTCCTCTGACGCTTATTTATCATTTATAATACTTTAATATGTGTGTCCTTTAATTATATTTGCCTATTTATTCCATAGCCAGCAAGGGGTTGACTTATCATGGAAAGCTGAACTGTTGCCAACAATTAAGGTAAGTTGTGGCTTTAGAATTTCAATATTTAGGTGAAAAAAATACTTGAGCCTATAGGCATTTTAGAATATGATATGTTATTAATTCATCTAGGTAGTTCATAAACTTAAGATTTGTTCATCTACATTTGAGAAATAATTTCCCCAGAAATGGAGAAATTTAATGGAGAAGAATGTATTTTTTTAGTTCTCAGAGGTAAAAACGATTAAGTTAATAATGCTCAAAATAAAATGAAATGTATGTGTTATTGTGTCATACCAAGAGCTAAGTAAAGTTTTAAAATTCAATTTGAAGGTATGTTCAAGGCCCTTTCATTTATATTATACTAGAGGCCCGATGCATGAAATTCTTGCGGGGGGTTGGGGGGGGGGGGAAGGGTCCCTCAGCCCGGCCTGCACCCTCTCGCAATCCGGGACCCCTCGCTCTTAACCGCCCGCCTGCTCGCTCCTTACTGCTTGGCTTGCTGCCCCTTAGTGCTGCTGTAGAGGCGGGAGAGGCTCCCACCACCGCTGCTGCACTCACCAGCTGTGAGCCCAGCTTCTGGCTGAGCAGCACTCCTGCTGTGGGCGTGCACTGACCACCAGGGGGTAGCTCCTGTGTTGAGCGTCTGCCCCCTGGTGGTCAGTGCACATCATAGCGACCGGTAGTTCTGGTTGTTCCGGTCGTTCTGCCATAACAGTAGCTGGGATTATATACTGTATACATAGGTAAGATAGATGCCTGTTGCAGAAACATTGCTGTACATTGAGGAGAAGCCCAGGAGTTTGTTTAACGTGCTGTCCCAAGGGAATCTGACTGGCTTCTTAGACGGCCACTCACCGACAGACAGCTCTCCAGCTTCAGAACCTCTCGGGGCTGGCCCACATAGCTGCCCTGGCGTGCTGTGGAGAAAGTTATCTGAAGAAATGTCTCCGTGCGTGCAAGTTGTAGCAGCATGTCACTACCCCGCCCCTGCACGTACTTCCAGGGGAAAGCGCGGCTTTCAGAGCTATTTGGTGACTTGGCTTTTCAATAAATAGACGCGTCTCTTATCTATTTATTCCTCAAGATGTGGCTATGGGATCTGGTCTTAATTTTGAGAAGAGATGTTTATTGGGTGAGGTACATTATTAGTCTTGCTTTGCTGTGTCTTCATGTCATTTTACTGAATAATCGGGGGATGATGTGCATGTATATCATTAGCCAGCATCTCTTTACTACTTGGGCTTGATCAGAATCATTTGAGATTAGGTTCCAACTCTTCCATCATATTTAGCATCCGTTCATTCATCCACTGTTGAGCCTCTGTCATGTGCTACCAAAATAAATGTGGAGATAATGCTGTAACATTGTTTGAAACAAATAGACAAATTATAAAAGGAAAGAGCAAATCTGGAAATAATTATGTAAAATATTTAAATTTAGTGTTAAATGTCATTTGTTTTACATGAAGGGACAGATACAGTTCAAGAGATGCAGGACTATTTTGGTAGTCCATATTCACATAATTATTAGGAATTTGACTTTCAGCAGGATTATTGACCTGAAAACATAAACATGGGTACCTTATGAAGTATTGCATTTAAGTTTGCAATCTGTTTTTTTATAACGTATTAAATAAGAAATAGTGTGTGTGTAATTTATTTTTCTCTTAAAGTGCTTTATGGTCTGTATAAATCAGCTTTTTACTTTCACCTTTTTTTTAGTCTCTGACGTTAAGACTTCAAGACTATCCGTCTTTGTCACATCTTGTTGTTTATGTACCATCTATCCATGGAAGTAAGGTAACGAATGGATTAAAGTCATTATCAGAATGTTTTGGGACTACTCATGCTAAATATTTGTTCTTTCTTCATGAATTCTTCAGCATAGGGCTTGTCTAAAACAATGCCAGTTTAGCGATCCACCTAAGACTGGGAGGACCAGTCTAACTTGAACTAAGCAGAATAAACCCAAGTCTCTTTATTCCAAGTGGAACATCAGACTTTCAAAATCTATTAATTATTGAGACCATTTTATATGCAAGAGTCTGTGCCAGGAATTATATAGGAAGCACACAAATGAGGAAGAAACTAACCCCGTTCTTAAAAATACACTTGGGTTGGGGAAGAGAAATGTATTTGGAAACGGGGAAGAGAGAGAATAAAAGAGCTACTCAGAAATACACAATACACTAATAATTTTTATTAAATTAAGCTTGCTCATCAAATTTTCTTAGTTTGGCATCTCTCCTTGAGGAATGCTTGCCATTTTAGTGTAGCCAGAGTTAGGGTGTGGCACAGCCTTCCCCATGGCTGACGACTTTTATTTTCCACTCAAACATCAAGATGTTTTACTAAAATTTGTTGAGTTTTTTCCCCCCTAATAAGTCAGTGTTTCTATTTCAGTTTGTTGTAGATTGTGAATTCTTTAAAAGAGAGACAAGATCCATACAGCTTCCTGTAACTCATCTTTTTTCCTTTGGTAAGTATTTTGATTCTGGAAATCCTAAGACTTGCTTTTCTTTTTAACAGTGCTGATTTCTTTCGCAATAAAGCACAACCGTGTAAAAGAGTATTGTGTATTTCAAGTGTAGTCCTAGAGTTAGCATGTGATGTGTTCATTCGTTTGACTCTTATTTAATACTGGGCCAGCCGTCATCTTCTGAGAAGGGAACTTTAAATTAAATGTATCCATGATTACATACGTATGTGTGTGTATTTTCATGTGAATTTATATTCAATATTGGCCCTTTTAATAAAAGGCTTATTATAAGGTATAAATTTCTACCTACCCTGTGACAGTTTCAAGATTTCTCTAAATACATATAACTACATATTCTCTTACATTTTATTATGAAATAATTTTGGACTTACAGAAAGAGTACAGAGCTCCTGTGTACCCGTCACTCATCTCTCTATAATGTTGGCCTCTTAAACAATGCAGTTGCCAAAACTGAGCAGTTAGCATTAGCATCATACTGTGAACTGAGCCACAGGCTTCATTTGGTTTTCGTTGGCTTTTCCACCTTTGTTCTTCTCCAGGTGCCCACATTGCTTGAGTTTTTATGGCTCTTTCATCTCCTCTGATCTTTTTATAGTTCCTCAATCTTTCCTTGTCTTTCATAATTTTGATACCTTTGAAGAGCACTGGTCAGTTATTTTGTAGAATATTCCTTGATTTGGATTTGTCTAAAGCTTTCCTATTAGTTGGTGTTATGCATTTTTTGGCAAGAATATCACAGAAGTGATGAGTACTTCTCCATGTATCCTATCAGAGGACACGTTTTATCACTCACTGTGTCTGATCACCAGTGATGTTAACCTTGGCCACTTGGTTAAGGGGGTGTCTGCCAGGTTTTTCTACTGTGACGTTACTGGAATTAATAAATGTTTTGGGGGAGATACTTTGTGAGTAACCTATTTGTATTTTTTATTTTTTCAAAATGACCCACTAATCTTAACATCCATGGGTTCATCTAGTCTGAAGCAGTTATCACTGATGCTCTATATTTTCTAGAATTCTTCCCAAAGGGAAGTTGTCCCTTCTTCCTGATTTATTTATTTATTCAGTTTTTATGTATGTCAGTATTGGACCCATACATATTTATTTTATTCATTGGGTTCTAATCCAGTACTATTGTTACGTTCTTGTTTGTTTAAGTTTTTCCGGCTTTGGATAGTGGAATCTGTATTTTGGTTGTCTCTTAGGCCACTCATGAAAAGAATCTATTCTACTTGATAGAGGAAACTTCCTGTAAGATTTTTATCCCTCCTCTACCCTTTTTTGGTAGAAAAATACTGAGAACAGTACAGAAATGGCAACTCTATCACTTAGCTCCTTAAAGATAGCACGCTTATGAAATGAGATCTACCAAGAAAGCATACCGTATCGACCCTAGAGATATGTATTGGTTTTATAAAGCACATACATGTGATTGAAAGGCATTGCAAATGTTTTTTTTTATCCAGAGTTTTTTGAAGGAGGATTGTGTTTTTAGGAGTTTTTGCCTTCATGTCAGAAGTCAGAACCTACCAGCTCTTTTTTAATATTAAAAATCTGTTGGCATAATTTTAATGTTGTTTAAGCAATTTGTACTTTTGTCATTCTTTGGTGTTCTAAGCAATACGGTACTTTTAATTTAACAGGATTGTCTTCAAGGAAAGTGAAATTAAACACAAGCGGCCTGTTCTATAACATAGAGCTTCTGAACTTCGGACAGGTAATAATCCCGCGTATAAGAAGGATGTGATTTTACTTTACTGTTTAGTTAAACAAACACGTAAACTTCTGTTTTTGTTTTTGTGGTCAAACCATTAGATATACCAAGCTTTTCAAGTCAACATAGACAGCAAGTGCTCAGGAGTCAAAGGTAAGTGTATTTTACAATAAAATATAAAGGTGTTGTCATTTGAAGAATCAGTATGTTTTCACTTGAATTTCCTATATGTATGTGAAGTAAAATGTAATATAATAGAAAAGCTGTTATATTTCCAACATATTTAACTTAGACCCTTTCTTTACACATTGCAGACCAGTAGTTTTATTGCTAGCTTTACCTAGTGGTCAGATAAGTTTCTATTGAATGAGTACAAAAAACATTTTACATAAATGTTAAAGGCACGCTTTAAAATTAAGTACCCATTGCATTTTGAAGTTATTTATTGCATGTTCTTACAAGCTAATATCTTTTTAAAGTATGATACTTTGTAAAACACTGTGTAATATGAAGCAAGAATTCTCGTGATCCGTCCACAATGTGTTAATAGTAAGCATCTTTTTTTAAAAATATATTTTATTGATTTTTTACAGAGAGGAAGGGAGAGGGATAGAGAGTTAGAAACATCGATGAGAGAGAAACATCGATCAGCTGCCTCCTGCACACTCCCTACTGGGGATGTGCCCACAACCAAGGTAGATGCCCTTGACCGGAATCGAACCCGGGACCCTTGAGTCCGCAGGCCGACGCTCTATCCACTGAGCCAAACCGTTTAGGGCAGTAAGCATCTTCTGTTTTAGTTTTAACACCCACTTTTTAAAAAATATGTTTTTATTGATTTCAGAGAGAGGGAAAAGAAGAGGGGGAGAGAGAGAGAAAGAGAGAGAAAGAGAAACATTGTTCAACTGCCTCCCGCACACACCACAACTGGGGGTTGGGGATCGAGCCCGAAACCTGGGCATTGCCTGACCGCGAATCAGACTGTTGACCTTTTGGTACACAGGACGATGCTCAACCAACTGAGCCACACCAGCCCAGGCTTAAATATCCACGTTTTAAAAATACCACATAGCTTGCTGTTTTGTTATAATAGTAATTCAGATTTAGCTGCTTAGTGTTTTTGCAGTTTCTTAGTCCTTCTCAAATGCTCTAATATCTTTTATGAGTCTAATATTATAAAACACTAGTGCCCCGGTGCACGGATTCATGCACATTGAAAGGAAATGAATTAGAAGGTGGCCGGTGGGGTGCAACTGGGCGAGACAGGCTGAACATGCCCTGGAGCCAACCTCCCGCAGTCCCTCCCTGGCCGGCCGCACCTGGGGTGGCACCATGACTTGAAGGGCGTGTATGGAGTGAGCTAGGTCCCTCCAACAGGTGGGGTCCCTCTGCCTGGCCTGCAGGGATCAGGCCAAAACCGGCTCTCCGACATCTCCCGAGGGGTCCCGGATTGTGAGAGGGCAGTTCTCGGGTGATGCACCCCAGAATCGGGCTCCCTCCTCTCTGGTTCCAGGGTGTGTCACCCGAGAACTGCCACTGCCAAGTCACCGCAGCTCAGCAGCTCCTGCGTTGAGCATCTGCCCCCTGGTGGTCATTGTGCATCATAGCTACCAGTCAGACGGTCGCTTAGCCTTTTATATATATAGATTATTATTTAATCATTCTTCATAATTTTCTATTATGTGATGTAACTCTTACTGATTTCTTATGAACTATAATTATAACTACTATAGTTAGTTAGGTATTATAGTAGTTTATATAACATTTGGTGTGACATAAGGGTAGTAATACATGTTTTTGTTTTGTTTTCACAGAAGAAATAACTAGTATCTATAAACTTCACATTCCCTGGTCTTATGAAGATTCGCTAACCATTGCACAGTAAGTATATGAAAGGGTTTACCTTAAACTTTTGTTTTTTGAATAATACACATTCTACTAAGTTTATTTACATCAGAGTGGAATCATTAAAGTGCCTCTTAGTAAAATATAGGTATTCCTAATGTAGCATTGTGCCCATAGGTAATATAATCTATGGTATTCTTCTTTAACTGGTACAGAATGTAAACCTTCATTGCTTGAAACATGAACCCTTTCCCACTTCTCCCCGACTCCTATGTCCCCGAGGGAGTGTTCAGACACCGTGATATGCCGGGAGCGTCCCTCCGTCACCATGCGTCTCACACCCAGCCTCCTCTCCATTACCATGCGGTGTTGGGCCAAGGACTGGCTTAGCCGTGTTATTTAATAGCATTCTGTATTTGAGAATTGATAATTAAGTTACTTTTCAGGGTCCCATCTTCAACAGAAATTTCTCTGAAACTTCATGTTGCCCAGCCAGACAATGACAGCCACGTCGCGTTATTAAAAATGTACACGTCTTCCGACTGTCAGTATGAGGTAAGCTGTATGTTGGCTTCACTTTTAAGATTTAGTTATAGAATAAACGGCAGATGTATTTTTTAAAAATATATTTTATTGATTTTTTACAGAGAGGAAGGGAGAGGGATAGAGAGAGAAACATCGATCAGCTGCCTCCTGCACACTCCCTACTGGGGATGTGCCCGCAACCAAGGTACATGCCCTTGACCGGAATCGAACCTGGGACCCTTGAGTCCGCAGGCTGACGCTCTATCCACTGAGCCAAACCGGTCAGGGCACGGCAGATGTATTTTATGTTACATGGTGATGCAGAAGGCAATAAATACTAGAAGTAGACATTCACAAAAAAGAAATAGACATGTATATTACTTTAAATATCCTCCCTTTTACCTCTTAGCACCACCTCCGTATTTTCTTAGCTGGACCACTGAACGTATGCATCTTAGTAAGAGAAAATAAAATTAAAATTGCGACTGAAGTCTAACCTTTTCAATTTGGGAGCAAAGGTCCTTTGTAAATTGAAGACCATCATGAAATCAGCTGTGGGTTTCATTCACTAATCAGCGTGATGCTCATTTGTTCCTAGCTCTTGGATAAGGTCCTTAAGGCCTTCTTTGCTTTTCACTAACTATACTAGTTTCTGTTAGTCATTAATCCGTGCAGTTCCGTGCCTATTGAGTTTGTGTTACAATCACCTAGATGTCCTTGTGCTGAGAGAAGGGAAATAGAGCTCCAGGGTAACATGTTATTAACTTACGGGTTCATGCCAAAAGAGTCCCTCCCTGTGTTAGAACAGGCCAGGTTCTAAGGACTCCAGGTGGACGTGGCTGAAGCAGACATTTGTGGTGACATCACAGGTTTCTAGCTGATGTGAAATATCTTGATTCCACTTAACTGCTCTCAGTCATTTAATAAATCCCTTTAGCTTGCATGATCTAGTAATTTGATATTCTCGTTAGTTAAGTATTTTAGTTAGTAAAGGGTTACTATGTACACCATGGCATTCATTCAGTTGTCAAAGAATTAGAATATGGGAACATATTTTACTGAACAGTAAAATTACCCTGGAGACACATTAATGTTGGTGGTTCAGAGGATTCTTTTGAGATCTTGAGTGCCTTTAGGTTTATTACCATAAAAAAGTTAATTTCTATTTAATAAAATGCTCAATTTAATAAAATGTGACCTGGGGCAGCTTTAGGGAAAATAACATTTTTCTTAATGATTATTTTAAACCAGGTGACGATTAAGACTTCCTTTCCGCAAATACTTGGACAGGTAAGAGAGACCCCTGTTTGGTTATTGATTGTCTTGTGAATGGGTACTGTAAGGCAGGGGTGGCAGACCTCTGTAAAGGGCCAGAGAGTAAATACCAGCAGACCCCCCCATGGCCTCTGGCCACGGCCGGCACCCCTGCAGCTGCTGCTGCTGCTGCCTCCTCCCTTCCTCTTCTTCCTTCCATGTTCATGAAACCTAAACTCCGTTCTCGGCACACGGGCCACACTGGCCACCCTGGCTTTAAAGGGTGCTCTCATGTGTGAGACTTCCTAGGGCTGATTCCTGATTCTCAAACAAGTTCATGTCCTTGGCTAAATGGATGTCATATTAAGATTTCATGTTGCTCGTACGTTATAATTCATAGCCTAATAAAATCTGTAGACTCCATCATCTAAATGAACATTTTCAGAGAACTTCTGATTTTGTGCATGCTCAGTTTATAAAAGGTGGGAAGTAAATTATATTCAATAGACATGTTGAAAAATAGTTTAAATTTATTTGGAGAGTGTCTTTCTATAATTCATAGGTAAATAGTGTTACAAAAATAATTTATCAAGTAGCGGAACTGCTATATTATGATTCAACATCATTATAATTTACAGAATTGTACAATAGATAATACTGATTTGTCAGAGAAGTTATATAACTTTAAAATTCATTAACATTTTTATTGTGCCTTTTATTACTTTCACTTTATTTATTTTTCATGTTTTGCAATCATGGCATAGCAGAATATTTTTAATTTAAATCATTTAATCCTATAATGATAATAAAACTTACAAGTCAAAATTAAATTAGAAACTTTTTTACTAATATTTGCAATATCTCACTTGATCCTCACAACAACCTGATGAGAACTAGATTGTAAGTATTGTTACATTTGTGAACATTAGAAAATTATAAGTTAAGTGTAAACATTTTGTGCTACATTAGAAAGAGAAGATTAAATGTTAGTATAAGTTGGAACATAGCCTCATGGAGAATTGTAATAAGTAAAATGTTAAGGGATCAATTATTACGAAAATTTATCTCTTGGAATCCATGCTATCGTACTTTTAGTATGTTCAAAAGGCATGTTACTGTGCATGGAGGTATGGAACGAGGACATAACATACTGTATTCTCATATCATTCTGGTGCCTCATAATTTAGGTTAGTAACAAAGAAGAGTCTAGTCAGTTCAGTACTCGATAGTCGAGCATAATCACATGTGCATCAGAGAAGGACAGACTAGCCCTGGCCAGTGTGGCGCAGTTGGCTGGGTGTTGTCTGTATACTGAAAGGTGGTCAGTTCAGTTCTTGGTCAGGGCACCTACAACAAGTAAGTCACTTGCTTGTGTGTGATGTTTTTAATTGTGCAAGTTACTCGCGCTCCCTGTGCCTCAGTTTCACCTATAAAATTGGGATAAGCACAACCTCAGAGGGTTTGCGGGAGGAGAGCATGAAATAATGCATACAAGATGCCGAATACCACGCCTGAAATATAGTAAATGCTCAATAAACATGCCTTATAAAAAAATGTGCAGTGCTTACGACTCAGTTGTATATTTTCCTTATCATGCCTTTGATGAGAAATTCAGATACCATGTTTCTAGCATACTCTATATTATTAACGTTTATTTTACTTAGAGTCTGATACCCATTACTGGGAACACCTTTGTGGCCATGTCATGAGAGAGATAAAGTGAAGAACAACAGTTTTATTTCATGTGAAAGGACACCTGTGTTAGCCTGACCATTTAGAAGTTGTCCTTGATTTGCCTGTGTTCTAGGTCGTTAGGTTTCACGGTGGAGCTCTTCCTGCTTACGTTGTATCGAGCATCCTTCTTGCTTATGGAGGACAGTTATACTCTCTCTTCTCAGCAGGTGAGAATCTTATGTTCCTTTCCCCCTCCCCCCTCTCTCTTCCTTCACCCTCCCTCCTCCCTCCTTCTGTGCTTCACTACTACTTTTTTTTTATCTTTTGTGTGGCTAAGGAAGACAGATCAACTTCTTGATAATTTATAACTCACCTCTCCCACGTTTACAGGGATTTGAGATCCTCTAAGTTTTAAAAGATACCCAAGACACATCTTACCTGTTTTTTCCACTTTATACCCTTGTGCCTGAAATGTCTTCCCTCTGTTCTGAGGACCTCTCGATTGATAGAGGCTTATTTGCAGGGATCTTGTTCTCCATTCCATTCCTGGTACCCAACATAGTGTCAGGCACATAGTAGGCACTCAGTGTAACGTTTGAGCTGTATCAACTATTAATTAGGTCCTGGCACATTGAATGGAATAATTGAGAGTGTAATGTTTCAAAGGTACCAGTATGTGCAGGGTAACAGAAGATGATAAAGTGCCAGATTAGCAACAGAGCAGAGCACCTGATACTGCGGGTGCCGGGGCCAGGGCGAGAGCAGACCAGCGAGCTTAGAAGGACAGCATTACGGCAGCGGCAGGCTGCGGACAGGAGCCCTGGGTCTCAGCAGGGGACAGGCGGGGAAGCTAACGCACTAGCCTTGCTTCCACCCCTTCTCCTATCTGCCAGTGCCTCTCATTCCCTGAACCTACTTGGAAGCCAGTCCATGCAAGTCAGCTTCCCAAAATTCAGAGCAAAGTAGAGTAGAGGCTGGATCTGGAGAGGCAAATATAGAACATATATAGCACATTGGACAGGCCTCCACAGAGAATAGCCATTAGAATAATTCCCAGGAGACTCACCTTTGTAAGGTCCTTACAAAACTTGGGAGGCAAGAGAGAGGAAAGGAGGATAGGGCCAAAATACATAAAAGCAGTCAAAAATCTCCATTATTTCCATTTCACCAAGCCCTTCCGCAGCTACTCTTTCCCTTTCAGTAGCTTGTTACACTTCCCAGTCTGCCTCTAAGTGTTTGTTTTAACCTGGTGTAGTTACATTCCAGGAAGAGAGCAGCAACATTCGCTGCTCCGCCCAGGTCTAGAGGTTATTTGGGGAATATGACATCACCATACTTGAATGTAAATATTTTTAGAAACTTTGAAAGAGATGTCTCATCCTTCTGAGTTTTAAGTGACTTGATAGTTGATTCTCAAACATACAGAATTTATACCTAGAGAGTTCATAGAGACCTCAGAGATACGTATTGGTTAGTTTAGAGCAGTGGTTCTCAACCTTGGCTGCACATTAGAATCACCTGGGAATCTTTTTAAAATCCTGATGTCTGGGCCTCACCCTCTGGAAATTCTGTTTCTTTGTTATGGGGTGGGGCCACAACATGAGTAACAAAGAAACAGAATTTCCGGAGGATGAGGCCCAGACATCAGGATTTTAAAAAGATTCCCAGGTGATTCTAATGTGCAGCCAAGGTTGAGAACCACTGTGCTAGAGGATTTAGATACGGGATTATGTCTCAAGCCAGTTACAGAAGTAATTCTGAACCAAGGATGTT